GCGGAGTGAGATGAGGATTACACTCTGTCCGTACACCGAAGGGCTCACCGAGGGCATGAGCACAGTGGCATGGGTAGGCAGTGATCTCCGCTGACTTCCTTTCTGCAGAAGGTGCTGGCTTCCTTAATTACACCAGTAATCTCTTTAATTACTTGCCTCCTCTGTGTCCGCAGAGGGAAAAGATGACTGGCGTCCCATTAATGAGCTTAAGGGATGCTTTACCCAGCCCTATCACTTCTGACCTTTCCTGGTGAAGAGCCTGGGATTAAGCTGTAGCAGCTTCAGTGAGGAAAGCTTCAGCTTCCCTCCACCTTCCCAGTCACATGGAGCGGGAGTCCCCAGTCATTCTTGGTGGCCCAGAGCAAGGCACCTATGCTCTGAAGAGCACTCAAGAGCTGGTGGGTGGACTCTGTCCCCGCTTCTTGCTCCAACTGGTGAGTAAACAGGACAAAGGACATCCACATGGTGTCTGTGTGATGATTCCCTTCACAGGGGCCTGTGGTCCCTGGCTCTGCTTGAAATCCTGGTAAATGGCATCTTGTGGTTCACCCAGGCTGAGGTATTCGCCTCTCAGCCAGGTGTCCTCAGAATGCTGGGAGGTGTGCAGGGACCAGGTGCAGCTACCTCTCTGCGCATCCTCCTCACTGTGGTACAGGTAATCGCTAATAAACAAAGGCATAGAGGGTGGCAGCAGCCGCCTCTGTGGGCTGGGCTCTTCCCGTCTTCCACTGCTGATCACTTAGTATCACTCCACTGGCCCTTCCTCCAGAACCCTCATGGGGTGTTGGGCAAAGTGTGTCTGGAGGTGAACCCTTAATAGCTGGCGTGAGCGCCTCCAAGTGCCCCAGGCAGAGCTCTAGTGGTAGCCCCCCCACCCCCCGTGGTGGTCCTGTGTGACCACTGAGGTACGGGCTCTGCCTCTCCCACATCTGGCTTCTACGGGTCTTTTGTTGTGCAGCTTGAGCAGACGTGGGCACTTCCACACTAGCATCTGCCTTAGTTACCTTAGGACCTTAAACCTGGCACAAATCTTCCTAAAGACCTCAACTTCACCCACATGCCAGTGACCCCATGCTGATAGGCCCTGATCATTCCTGACAGTCTTAGCCAAGGCCCCTCCCCCATAAGTCTCCCTCTCACACAGGCCTGTCTCCAGCTTTCCACCTGTTTTGGAGCACACCCTCACATCAGGCAATTGCCCTAGCTCTTGTTCACTATCCCCTGGGCTGGAGCAGGCACTCTGGAAGGCAGGGACCACACACCAGGTGATGTATAATTTCCTGTAACTCTGCTCCAGGGGAATCCAACACCTTTGGCCTCTCTGGACAACATGCATACACGCTTCCAGACACAAACAAATAAAAACAATTTTTAAAAATTAAAAATAATTGTAAAAGGAACCCCAAGAGTGCTGAAACCTCTAGCAGACCCCAAACCCCATTGCTTACAGAGCCTGCTTGGAAAGACCCATGCAGAGGAGCAGAGAGAAGGACCCTGTCAAGGGACACCATGACCAAGGCAACTCTTATAAAGGAAATCAATTAACTGGATGGCTACAGTTCACAGGTTTTGTTCATTGTCATCATGGGGGACACGGCGCCATGCAGGCAGACATGGTGCTGGAGAAGGAGCTGAGAGTTCTACATCTTGACTTGTAGGTCACGGAAAGTGGTCTGCCTCACTGGAAGTAGCTTGAGCATAGGAGACCTCAAAACCCACCCCCACAGTGACATACTTCCTCCAACAAGGCCACATCTCCCATTAGAGCTACTCCCCTTGTGGATCATTTTCAAACTGCCACACACCCCAAAACAGCAATATTGATCAACAGAGGGACAGTCTCAACTCTCCCTTTAAAGCAATGAATTCAAGCTAACTAGTGTATGATGGACACATGTGGCAACCACAGATGTTCTCTAAAGCCATGAGTAATATCCACATTCAATCACCGGAGACTTTAAAAAATGTTTTCATATGATGCAATCTAATATAGACAATTGTTTAAAAAATATCTTGTGGGGAGTTGCTTTCAAGATCAATAAAGATATTCCTGCCCTTTGATCTCAGGCATTTTTGTTCTGGGCTTCTTTAAAATGTAGACATATGGGATCTGGTGAGGTGGTTCAGTAGATAAAGCGCTCATCACGCAAGCATGTGGGCCAGAACTGGATTCCAGCACCCATGTAGAAACTGGGCAAGCACATTCCTAAACCAGCACAGTCCTAACTGTGGCCTAAATACCTATTCCTATACTCACAAGTAGTGATATTTCATTTGTATTTTAACAAACAAAGCTTGCCTGAAGATCACGGAGTAAAACAGTTGCACTGGTCAACCTTACAGACTAGGCAGTGGTGACACACACCTTTAATCCCAGTAGCCACACTAGTTTGCATAGAAACCAGGTGGTGGTGGTGCAGGCCTTTAATTTCAGTACTAGAGAGGATTATAAAATGGGAGGAGACAACTCTCAGTCAGTCTCATTCTGAGGATTCCTAGAGGCAGGATCTCCATTTCAGACTGAGATAGAGGTAAGAGCCAGTGGCTGGCTGTTTTTCTTTTCTGGTCTTCAGGCTGAACCTAATATCTGAGTTTTTATTAATCTTGCTACACCCACAGATAAGTGTAGCTCTCACCCCTCATCTGAGAAGATCCTTTCTCACAACAGATGGTGACATCATGGATGGAGATACCACAGAGAGCCCAAACTGGCCAAAATGAAGAGAACAGATGACCACAGGGCACCCAGTCCCAATGGATGTATCTACAATACAACCCTACTCCTGAGCCTTGGGGAACATTGTGGAAGGGAAGGCTGAAAAATGTTAGAACCAGAGAACCAGAAGTCTGCTGGGAGACTGTGTCTTCTAGCTATGACAGGGAGGCTGCGGCCATGATATCTCAAAAAGACAGCTGCCTAAACAAGACCCAAGCAATGACGAGTGGACACGCCATGGAGGATGGGGGAATCTCACAAGCTCCACCCCTAGATGGAGAGACACAGGTAATTAACGGCTGTTAAGAGAGGGAAAACCAGACTTCCCCAAGGATGAGCTCCCTGAGAGGTTATCCAACCCCAAGAGGTCAGCCCTAAACACATTCACAGACAAGCAACACCACGTGGACCTGTGGTGGTCGGAAAGAAAATGGCCCCTGAAGGTAGTGCCCTAGCAGGAGGAAGTGTGTCAAATGCATTAAAAACAGAAAAGGCCATCTTCAACGAAGTGCAGAGGCATTGGCCTGGAAACTGCCTTTCTTGCAGTGGGCAGGAGCAGGGACATGACTTGGTGGAAGCTGTCTGTCACCTCGCTCACCCAGTTACTAGTGAGGAAACACCCAGGGATGATCGGGAGCTCACGGCACTCACAGTGACAAGCCACCATCACGGTGGGGTCACATGACTGCTGCCTTTTCTGAAATCTGTACAGCAAACAATGTGCTTCTGATAAGATGACGAAAAGCATAACCACAGTGGAGAGCAACGGCCACCAGACATGACAATCACAATCCTGCCACAGACCAGGAGAAGGTCTTTGCAACTTACAGGCAACAAGGGCCTGCAGTCTCTGCAGCTGAAATCATTAACACCAAGGTAGAGGCTAATGTGTCTGAAAACACAGAGAGTGGCGGGGCCACGGAGCATCAGGAAGTCCAGTGTGCACTGAATAACCACCTAAGAGACGCAGGCAGCATAAGAACCAATAGCTATTTCACATGGAACAGCAGTGTGTGTGTGTGTGTACCCCTCTGCATGCTCGCACATGCATGTTTACACACATGCGTCACATATGTGTATATGTATACATGTGTGTCACAGAAGACAGGCACAGAGGTCTATCATGGAGGAAACCCAAGATAACCGACATGCTTCCAGCAGAAGGGTGTGAACACACACACATGTATACATGCATGTACAAGAATACTAGTATGCTCTTGACAGATTCCATTTAATATGAGATTATTTTTGTAATAGCTTATGTAAGTGAACTAAAGCCAATGTTAACATCAGTGAAAACTGGGCATGCTGGCTCATGACTGTAATCCCAAGTCTTAGGAGGCTGAGGCGGGAGGATGTCCACAAGTGGGAGACCAGAAGCCAGGCTTCCTGGATCACACATCAGCCTGTACTCACTCACTGCGGAGGTCACCCAGAATCTCCGGGCCAGAGTCTTATAAAACTGGCATACTATATTAGGTGGTGCCTAACCAGGAGGTTCCTGCCACCGGCTCTGTCTCCTCTCTAGGATTTACCTGTTATACATATGACTGAGGACAGTGAGCTTGGGTGTCAACATATGGTCACACATACACAGACAACTGGAAAGGACATCAAGAAAGGACCAAAGCAGCCAGCACAGAGGACAGTCCCATCTATCGTGAGCTCTCTGTGGTTTATCTACTGGTTTATCCCTCCTATTCCTCCGCAGTAAATGTTTCCCTCCATCAGGGGTCCCAGGGGTCGGGCAGGGGTCACTGCAGGTGACACAGGTCACACAGAGTGCTGTAAGGAATGCTGTCCACTCAATCATCTAGGCTGGAACCATCAGTGATGCTGATCCCACTTCTGCAGCCACGAGAAGCAAGCTGGCAACAAGTGCCAAGTTCATCCAGAGTCCCTCTCTGGGCATGACAGAGAAGAGCCCCGTGGGCAGCTGTTGCCATTGCCCCTCCATGGAGTCCCCCCTAGCTTCCCACCTGGGCATCTGTGACGACCCACCCCACCTGCACATTCATCTCTGCCTGGAGCTCGGCCGGGGCAGCCCTCAGTAGGCTACCGTGGCCTCGTTTCCCTGGACGTCAGATCATCTTCTGGGATCTAAGAGCCTCTGAGTGCGAAAGGCACCGAATAAAAGCAAGCACTCGGGCTTCTTTCAAACAAAAGAAAGCACTTCCCCACGAAGTAGAGGATACACTTTCCCTTCCAGCCCTCCACACAATCTATCAGCTTTTCATTTTGAATCAGCTGTCCCTTGTCGCTGCGTTGCAGAACGACACCTTACCTCCTCCAGGAAGGAGCCGAAGTTCTCCAGGAAGTATTTCCAGTGTATGGTGGGCGTTAGGTGGAGTCTTAATTTCCTCAAAAAATAATGATACTGGTTATCTGTTAGTTTCTGACAGAAACTCTTCAGGACATCTCCAAAGTCCACAGCCTTCACGAACCCAGTGTCCTCTTTATCCAGTGCAGAAAATGCCTACAGCAAACAAACACAAGGAAAGCTGGTAAGGCAAATGAATGTTGCAGCCTATGCTTGAGGGGCTGTGCCCGCACCATGGGCCAAACCGTGCAGTCACCCTGACACACTGCAGGTGTCAGCGGTAATCGTGACACACTGCAGGTAGAGGCATGTGGTCATCAACTGGGTAGGTGTAAAAACATGAACAGTACACTCATTTCTTTCCATCTGGTCAAAGAAAATCATTCATTCTTACTGCACTGGGAAGTTTGTATCAAGCAGTGGACTTGAGATACCCGCTCCCCCCCCCCACCCCAAGACAGGGTTTCTCTGCGTAACAAACCCTAGTTGTCCTGGAACTAGCTCTGTAGACCAGGTTGGCCTTGAACTCACAGAGATCCACCTGCCTCTGCCTGGGATTAAAGGCGTGCGACACCACCGCCTGACAAGATGCTTTTTTAAAAAGTAAAAATTTAATGTGCCTGCAACCTCCAGTCCAGCTCCCCTGAGCCTGCTTTCTTCATCTGTGCTTTGTAGGAATACCTTGGGGCAGGAAGAGCTTTACAGCCGGCAGTCACTGAGGAAGTGGGGCAGTCCCTGGCCCTGGGTCCTGGGCTCAGATGCTCGGCTAAGTCCTGATCTCCCTCAACTTCAGCGCATTCTCCATGAAGGGGACTTAGCTGAGGGCGGTTGTGAGTGAGTGTGTCTTTGGCGGAAAGGTACAGGGATGTGGGAACCAGGAGCACAGCCATCTGAACAAAGATCCAAGTGCAACGAGCAGTTTGTGCTATGAGAGTGCTGGAAGGTAGTATGTGGTGTGGGACACACCGCGGCATTCCCAGTAACGCTTGAGAAGCAGTGTGGGTCCAGCTCCCTCTCGCCATGGGGCCTGAACCTCCTGGGTGTCTGTGGGTAAACTCGGTCTGCTAGCCACAGCATAGGTGTAGGAGCTGACCAGGAAAGGACTTTGAAATCTATAGAATGCTGCAAGGGTACAGTGTTGCTGTATTGCCTGGAAACAAGACAGGTGTGTGGCATCTGCAGTGGCACTCAGGGATGTATTCAGACGCCTGGTCCCCTTAGTGGCCATCCTGAACCAGTCTCACCCTTCCTGGTAAGGGCCTCAAGCACATGGTCCTAGTGGCCTCTGACAATCTGCTGGTCTGAGCTGACTGTCACCTGGGGTTGGTATGCTGGCCTCAGCCACCTGTGGACCAGGCTGGGGACACACCTTTAGGAGCATAGTTCCACATCACTCCTTCCAAAGACACCAGCATGGTTCCAGCCACCACATCACATAAAAGGGCCACTCAAGGGACAGCGGAAGAACACCCTTCTCCTTGAATGACCCACAGCTTTCTGGTCTCCTTCACAGCTGTCTTCGTGACATCTCCTGTCCTGTTCAACCTTCTGAAGGCCACTTTAACATCACTTATCCCCATGGGTCACTTTCTTGAGCACACTGAGAGCTCATGAGATATGTGAGCCACTGTCATCCAGTCTCTATGTCCTTCCAAACAAATTATACTTGTGTGTATGAATGTGAGCACGTGTGTGCCAAAGTGCAGGTGTGGAGGTTGAGCACAGCCCCAAGTGTCAGCCTCACCTTATCCCTTGTATGAGGCTGGGTGTCTCTGTCTTCTCTGCCTGACCCTGTAGTCTCAGCTTGTCCCTGAACTCTGTCTTTTCTGCCTGGTCCTGTGGCTTCAGCTTGTTTCTGGACCATCTCTCTTCTCTGTCTGGCCCTGTGGCCTCAGCTTGTCCTTGGACCATCTCTCTTCTCTAGCTGGCCCTGTGGCCTCAGGCTGAGCAGGGTCCGAAGCAATCCTGGAGGTGCAACTGCTCCAATCAGCAACCTGGATCCAGTAGATGCTCAGGAGACTTGGGGGGGGGGAGGTGGATCTGGGCAGGGCTTAGAGCTGCTGGGAGGGATAGAAGTGAGTGACTTTACCTGACTGGGCTCTTTGCAATCTACCCTACCTTTAACAAAGCAGGCTGGGAGGATTCCACAACCGCCTGCATGCTCTTCACCACCTCCTCGGGGTTCAGCTTGGAGAAGTTGGTCCGTGGAGAGCATTCTTCTTTTTCTTTTGGCTGAGCTTTGCTTGTCTTGCTGATCTCAAGTGCTCTCAGGAAGTCGAGGGGATTGATGCAATTGTTATGCACACTGATGCCCAAGCTGCTCCCACAAAAGAAAAGAATAGATTCATTGAAAAGAAAAGTTGCTTATTCATTCAACAAACAGTTGCAGAATACAGGGGCAGTGTGGGGGAAGAGAATGGCTTGAAGAGGAGGGTGCCCACCCTGCTGGCACAGGCCCACTTGTGCTGGTTTCTGATGTGCACACGTGAGTGTCACCACAGAGAGGAACAAGGTGAGAGCTACAAGAGGCAAGACTGAGGGCTGCCCAGTGGTGAGGCCACGGGCTGGGCTGCCCTATCCTGAAGGCCCAAGACTTGACTGACAGCTGGGCACTGGGGCTCAGAGTTTCAAGGAGCAGGAAGCAGCAAGGGGCCGTTGCCGAAGGACTGGGAGGACAGCAGACCTAACTGGGCACCAGCCATCTGAGCTAAGGGCTGGAGAGGAGCTTCCTGTCATGGTGGTGTGCACAGAGGTGTGGCAGGGGAACTCAGAGGAGGAGTGTGTGTGTCAGAGAGAGTACAAGGACGGGGGAACTGAGGCAAGCACACTAAATTCTTTTCTAAGTCTCACTGAAATGAGGTTGTCAAGCCCAAAGATCTCCAAGGGTATTGTGCGAAACCTATCTAGTTTAATATTTCCTCAATAAAAACTCCATCTCAGTATATGTCCCCACAAGGGCATCCATGGAGTAGTGAGGGCCCCTTTGTGTCCTCAACTTGAACTGGGAAACAATTCCCTTCAAATTGCAAAAGAATAACTTGAGTAAGCTTGGAGAGTTTCCTACATACACCCAGTGTGACTCAGAATAAAATTTCATGCCTTCATTGCCCCAGCTCCTGAGCTGGGGACATAGCTCGGATGGGAAAGGGCTGCTAAATCAGATCACCGACCTGAACTGGATCCTGTCCTCATATTCTTTCGTTTGTTTTAAAGGCTAGATGCAGAGGTGGAGGAGACATGTGGATGCCCGGGGTTTGCTACCATAGCCTACTTGGTGAGGTATAGGTTGGTTTCCTGTCTCAAAAAAAAAAAAAGAAAAGAAAAAGGCAGACAACATTCATGCATGGTGTACACACATATGCATGTGTACCTGCACACACACACAAAAAGGTTGCTGCTTCTGTGATTCAGTTACTGGAGCCCTTGAGTACCAGCTCAGATGCTTGAGAGGAAGAGAAGTTTCCAGTGACTCGGATGCTTCTGAAGGAGAGGCAAGAGCCTAGCTTTGCAAGGTGCAGCTGCAGAGCAGCTCAGCCTGCCTGCGTTGGCATGGATCACGTGACAGGGACACGAGGAGACAGACAATCAGCACTGCTTCATGTATAGGGAGGAGCTGCCAGCGAAGTATTAAAATGCAGCAATAAAGCAAATGCATATGCGGACCTCCTTGTGAGGGTTTGGAAAAGTCTATTTTGGATCCAGGAAAGAATAATCTACATGTAATTACCAATAGTCAAGATGTTTATCATCAAGGGGTCTTTGAGGAGGAACAAGCGACTCAGTGATGGATCCTTATTAAGGCTTCGACGCACAGAAAAGTTGATCATCCATTGAGAGGTGGAGCGCAGAAGCTCCCAGGCCTTTTGTGCTGTTTATAAAAGTATCAAATCTAACTACGATTTAACAAGACTCTGTCAGAACCACTTAACTAATTATCTATATCCACCTTCCCATGATTTATTCATTGAACATACCAATTCTTATTCAGCTGGAAATAGATTCAGTGGGAAGGCTCTGGGAGGAGGGAGAGAACATGTGAGCAGTTGAAGATGGCATGGCCCTTCATTTCCATGTATCACACATATCACACAACATACATAGCCATGACTAGCATGAGCTATGTGGGGGAGAAGACCCCAGGCAAAAAGGGAGAAGCTGAGTAAGCAGAGAGGGAAACACAGACTCACAGGACAGGCAGGGCCCTGCAGCAGAAGCAGGAGCAACAATGGTGGCTCTGCCCGCATTTCATAATAATGGCTGACTTCCAGAAGAAATGGGAGCGACCAAGCCACAGGTCCAGGAAGCTGGGTGAACATAGAGCGAGGCAAACCCAGGCACAACAGATGCAAACCAACAGACTCAAACCACAGGATCCCAAAGACAGAAAGAAAGATTGCCAAAGGAGCCAGAGGGAAGGGCAAAGTGTTCCTATGCAGGATAAAAGCAAGAAGCACATCAGACTCCACCAGAAGTCACATGGGAGATGGAAGCGGGCGTCAGAGCATTTGAGTGATCAAAGAATTTGAGTTCTGTCTCCAGGGCAACTGTCCTTCAGAAGGGAACTGGGGCTGGGAGCTGGATATACTGGGGCCTTGCTCAGGCCAGCCTACTAACAGGGATTCTATAGTTCTCCCACAGGCCCAGGGTCCCCAGGAACAGAATTTCCAACAGACAGATGTTGTTCAGCATTAACACATCCTGAGTGTGCTCTGGGATTCGTGCTATACCATTTGTCTCAAATTCAAGTTCACCTGGGAGCCCTGGGTCTAACCTGACAATGCTCTATTCGTTGGTAAATTAGCATCCCCAAGAAAGGCTTTAAAGGTGCTGACATTGGGAACTTCAAGGAGACAATGCACCAGGTTTGCCTGTAGTGTAAACCATGCCAGACTCACCTCTCAGGGGAACTTCCTTCTACTCCGCTCCCAGCATCCCTGGTAACATAAGCATGCTTTTGAAAGATGTGTCCAACATGAAGGTCTGTTGCAAAAGCCACACTGAGGACAGATTTCTCAGGTGGAGAAAACCGGTTTTAAAAGGCTTAAAACTTTTATTTATGTATTCATCATGTACACATAAGTGCATGCATGTACATGGGCCACAGTTTGCATGTAAAGGTCAGAGGGCAACTTGAGGGAATTCGCTCTTTCCTTCCATAACCCAGAGCACTGAACTGAACTGAGATGATCAGGCTTGGCAGCAAACACCTTTCCCCACTAAAACATGCCCCCCTCCCTGCCACACACACACCAAGAACATTTTGAAAAACAGTTTGCTAATTTCTGATAAATGAGATTGGATGTACGTAAATGAAGAACAGCATACCTGCTGCAGGACAATGACACTGAGAGGACAAACCCAAGCCCTGAATACTGAGAGACAGTCGGAGAAAGAGTAGTTGGAAGTGAGAACCGGGGCACTCTCCTAGAACCCCAAGAGAAAAGTAAGAGATACAAATTAAGGGAGAAAGATCCAAACCCTTGCGGCGTCGAGTCAGGGTGGCTTCAGGGTTCAGCGTCAGGGGCTTCAAAATGAACAAAGGAGTGGAACTCATGAATGAGCTAAGACAAGAACACTTCCAGAAATCACAGAACACAAAACAGCGTGCCTTAGGAGACTGAACACACTAGACAGGGGACATTTGTCACAGGGTGAACTGGGGATTTATCAGCGGTGACAAGGAACCAGGACGCTAAGCTAAAGGGAAGAATAATCATATGATCCTGAGGACAGTACTGTGTAGAAAGAAAAAGTGATGGCTGGTCACCGGGAAGGTGTATTCTGCTGGAGGACCACCCAGAGTCAGGCCCAGCAACAGAGAACTGGGCCATTAAGTTCTGTGTGTTTGTGTGAGGTGGTAGAAGAGACAGGAGACAGTCTATTCCAAGGCCACCAGCAGAAAGCCTTGAGCTACTGACTGTGGGGATGGGAGGCAGGGGCAGGGGCAGAAGGACTGCTGCTTCCTAGGAACTGGGCCCTAAGCCCTGGCCAAACTGGTCTCTGTGCTTCTGGCTAAAACACAGAACAGCAAAGCAACAAGGTCAACGATGTGGAGTAGATAGAAGAAAAGGAAAAAGAACAGCATCACCAGCCCAGTACAGCAAGGGACATACTGGGGGAAGGGGAGGGAGGGAGGGAGGGGGGACAGCAGGCAACCTCTTCAGAAGGCTGATGAGCTCCTCTTCCTTCAGGGAACACCCACATTCTTGCAGCGCATTCTGCACCTTGGAGAGAGCTGCAGAGCCCGTCTTGGATTTTTCTAGCATGTTGAGTGCCTTGCTGATCTCTTCATAATGTTCCATGAGCTTCTCCCTGAAAGAGAAGCCACCCCAGACACCTAAAGCCAGGAGAAAAGCCATTTTTGATGCCCACTCTGCTGTGACAACTTGATTGCTCAGCCAAGAGCTAATTTGGAAGGTGCTTTGTGGGCTTGGTGCGATGTTTACATGAAAAGGTGTCCCTGAGAAAAGCTATCAGCCTCTGCCACTGCTGTTTTATTACTGCTATCATTAGCAAAACTGCCCCGGAGAAAAGTCAGCCCTGTGTTTGTGTTAGAGCTGGTGCTTTTCAAAGGGAACCAAGAATTTAACACAAGGATATGGCAGGCACCTACTATGTGAGTGTGCTGCTGTGGGTGTTGGGCCTCAAATAGGCATCCTCAGTGGCACCAAGATCACAGGGGGTTACAGGGCTGGGGTCATGGAGAGGACACACGCACAGCACAGTGGGCTGGCAGGAAGGAAGGAAGAGCTGGTGTGAGGAACCCCCAGCCCCACAGCCACAGTGGACTGCTGTTGTAAACACTGGAGTTGGTCTCACTCGACACCAGCTGACCAACACCAAGGTGACAGGACTGTGCTGTGCAAGTGTGAGGGCCTGAGCTTAATCCCCAGCACCCAGGTGATCTGGTGAGCAACCCCAGTTCTGGGGAAGGCAGACAGGCAGATCTCTGGGTCTCAGCTGCTAGCCCAGCCTAAAGACAAGCTCCAGGTCCCTGAGAGGCCTTGTCTCAAAGATCATGGAGAACAGCACCTGAGGTTGACCTCTGGCCTCCAAATAGCCAGCACACACACGTACATGGGCACATGCATTCTCCTGTCTCCCCTACCTAGCGCAGCCTGTGACAGACTGTCTAAATTCTGTCTTCTTTAGTCTTCCAAGCATCTTTCTCTGAAGACACTGAGGGAAACACCCACCTGGTGAGCTCAGGTGGCATCTTGGTTCCTGGCTGTCCCTGAGGGGGACAGAATGGGTTATCTGTTCTAAACGTTAAATCTGTTCTGGCTCTTGTCCATCATCTCCACTTCGTATTTGTGGGATAGCTCCTTGAGCAAGGCTGGAAACAAACTGCTGAACCAAAACCGTCAGAATGCAGGAGAGTCAGGCTGCGGTGAGGCACTGGCTGGTCGGCAGAGAGGATGGCACTTGGCAGAAGCCATGTGGAGGCCCAGGCCCTTCCCTTGCGGGCCTCCTGACTTGCAAGAGGCTCGAGATGCTGACGTCTGACCCAGGTGAGCATGCTGGGTGTCCTGAGTGTACCAACAGCACCTGCCTCGGGCTGCTTACGGTGTCCTGTGAACCCAGCCCCATGCTACGGCTATGGAGCCCCAGCTTGTCCCACGACACTGCCATCCCGTTAGCTCTTTGAAATGAAAGCGGATGAAAGTGGAGAGGATCAAAACAGTTTTTGGAGATACATATTTTTAGAAATTGAGGCATTCAGCATTTCTTGGACTGTCTTGTGAGCAGCAATTATTTCCCTTTCAGAGTAAACATGTGCACAGAGTAAATGAGGGCTTGGAGCAGAGATGGAAGAACGCCGCCAAGCAGAGCTACTGTTGGCCCACACTGAGCAGCGTGACTGTTCCGGGGTCTTGTCCTCCTCTGGCTCTGGCCAGGGAGGCTGACAATGACCCTGCTGTGACCTTGTAGTTGAGTCCTGTTCCCTTCCTTCTCTGCTGGGTTTAGCTGCCCCCTCTCCGTGTGCCTTCTAGAAAGGGACTGTGCCAGTGGCTGGTCACTGTGGCTTTTCTGACTTTCATTCTTAAGAGCAGAATAAAGGCCTGGAGAATGGATACAGGACCACAGAAGCCTCTGTTTCACCTTCAACGTGCACTAGGGCACGGCTAGCAAAATTAAATCCTTGCAATTGAGACAAAAAACCTATTTCTCCATCCCTTCAGTTCATCTACTGATCCGATCGGCGTTCAGAAAGCCAGTCGCCCTGATGGGCGGTCATCATTTAGTGATTCCTTCAAGCCAGGATCTATGCGTGTGCTGCTGGTGTGCACGGAGCCAGCAGTGGTGGTGCTGAGTGTTGCTTTTTAGAAGCCATCACTTTGTTTTGAGCCAGGGTCCCTTCCTGACCTGCAACTCCCCAGGTTGAGAACCAGCTGACCAGTAAGCCCCAAGGGCCCACTTTTCTCCAGCTCCTCAGCACTGGGTTTGCCAGCAGGCAGCTCCATGCCTGGGCCAAGATGATTTTTTTTTTTTTAAGGAAATGGAGCTGATCAGTTGTTTGTCTTCTCTGGTAAGACAGTGCCGCGGAGGCAGGAGGTCAAGCAAGAGTGCATGAGTGATCTGGTCCTGGGGATGAGAATGTAGTGTCACGCTTATCTTCAGCTCATCCCTGCACCGCCACCAGCAGAGAGGAGAGAAAGCGCATGCCTTCAGAGGGCCAAGGAGCCTCATTACTCACACATGGGGGGAGACACGGGAGTGAGGACCCTCGTGGGTAATGAGGCCAGCCCTGTCTGCTGAAGATAAATTCCACTTTTCATCAGTTTGTGGCATATTTGATTTATACCAACCTTGCGTGTATTTTACACTGAATTTCACAAACTCAATTCTCGGCCTGCAGTTTCTGTGGTGCGGTAACTTCGACACAATCCAGGGGTAAATTCCACCTGCTTGCCTCTTAAACCTATCTCATTCCTACTCTGCCCTGTGTCTGTGGCTTCCGTGCTTCCTTTGGGGGTTCTTCAGCAGCCCCTTTTCCACTTGGGTGCTGTAGTGTGTGGGGTGGAGATGGGAGCTGAGTCCCACCATTTGATAGGACAAGCAAGGGACAGTCACACACACAGGTAAAATCAAGAAGAGCCACAGCCGAGTTACACATCCAATGGCTCACCTTCACCCTGTGTCTCCCTGGCCTTGCTCAGGTACAGATATCCCGGTCTGTTCATTTCAAACCCTCATGGCCTGTGGACCATTGTCACGTGCATTCCAGCGTTTCCAGCAATCGCTTCAATAGGCAGACACCAGGTCATACTCCCCAAGGCCAGCATGCTGACTCAAGATGGGAAGGTGCTTCCTTTGTTGACGTCAAAGGTATACTGTATGTCATCCTGTGCAATGGTGGAGCAACTCTGGGTTGTCCTGGGGATAAACCCTCTAAGCAGAAGTGGTGAGTTAAACCACAGCCATTCATTCATCCATCCGTTCATTTAAAGGTGTTTACATGATACCTGTGGGGTATCACAGACATCGTATGGGGCCTGCATTCCAGATGGGCCACAGCAGGGTGCAGGCCCCATGCAGTGCACAACCAGGAAGTGCCAATATTCAAGGAGGGGCTAATAACATAGGAAAGAGCATGTGAGGAAAAGACGTGTGGAAGCTTCCTGTTCTGTGGCTCTTTGGCAAAGCTGATTTCTAGGCTCTACAGTGGGGCACGATGTTATAGCCTTACAGGAGTCCTGCCAGAGCAGCCTCCACTGTCTGGGTGAAGAGGACAGAATCCAGAAGCAGCCCCCAGTACTGACACACCCACCTTTCGGTCATCTGCTGCAGCTCCTGGATTTCCTCCTGGATCTGCTTGGGCTTTGTGAAGTGACCCAGGAAGTTGAAATAGTCTTCCTTGTAGGGCCGGTGGACCTTTGGCAAGTACCGGATGCCTAGTCGCTCCAGGAACTCTTGGTATGTGATGTAGCCCCTTCCCTCCGTGTCATATCTGTCAAAAACAAAAACCATGTTGTCATCAGTGGCATGGAGGGTGGGCTGGTGTTCAGGGGCCAGGACCACATCAGCAATTTGGGGGAAGTTTTCTTTCTTGCTAGCTACAAACAAGCCCAACAGACTCATCACAAATCTAGTCTCAGTCTGTGCCTCTGACCCTCTCTGTACCTATACCTAACAGGAGCCCTGAGTGACCCACACGTACACTGGCTGGATCATCAGAGTGACCTGCCCTAAGAGAATGGACTCGGATCACACGGCGGCCGTGTCTGTGGAAACACGGTGGCAAATCCAGACAGCTGAAACCCCCCTCTGCACACATTTTTGTTTCAGCACCCTCCGTGTAAAGGGACTGTGCCAAGGGTTAGAAGAAACTCTTTCGGGAAGCATATTCTATCCTGAAGCCTCGATAAATGAGTCCCACTCGATTCAAGATGTTAAAAGCCCCCGTTCCCACTTTGAAGAGACACCAATTACACATACCCAGCGAGAGAGCCTAGAAGGAAAACAAGATAAGAACTGTGCATTGTGCCTTTTAAGTCATTTTCTGTTATCAAGATTTTTCTGAATTATAATTCATTAAAAAAGGAATAATGGAGGTTTTATCTCCTGATGCTATTCACATAGAATAGAATTACTTCAATAAAAATTTTAAGGCAAATTGACCATTTTCTTTCTTCTTCCTTTTTTTCTTTTTGAGGCATTTGTTTTTAACAGAAGGATTTCGGCCCACAGCTCACCAATGGAAAAATGAAATCTATAGAAGTGGGCTTCCGAGATTAACTTAGGAGCTCCAGGAGTCAGGATCTCCCATTTAATGCATGCAAGCCCAGTCCCCTGAGGGACAACTCTGTGTGGTACCCAAAGAGACACCCCAGTATGGCCACACTGTGCCCTGCCAAGGAGGTGAGTTATTTTTTCTTCTAAGAGCTCACACTTCTCCTCACAGGCAGAGCAGTGGACGGAAGAGAGCTGGCAGCTGTGGCAGGTATAAGCGCTGGTGCTCCAGTACGCAAGGATGCCACAGGTCAAAAGGTTGTCACCCTGCCGCTGAGCTAGCGTGCCTGCCTGGATGCCTATCAGAGATGCAGCCTTGCCTCTTAGCCTCTGGTTCCCCTGTGCTCTGTGGACCTGCAGTTCCCTTCAGCCCTGTCTGACATGGGAGAGGAAGGAAGTCACCCTCTGGTGACTTTACTCCCTCAGCTGAGGCAGTTCAGGGTACCGCGGTACCCCTAGCAAGGCCCTACCAACTCTCAGGAGCCATGGCAGCCCTTCATGGTAGACTCCGGACAGCTGCATGTGGGCTTGTTACCACTTATGAATAGCCCACAAGCCTGTCCCAGGTGTGTGTGATTAGCACAACCTTCATACTCTAACTCGGGAAAGTACAGCCGGTCTGTACTTCCTGTGAGTTTTGTTTTCAAAACAATACACATGGGGCTGGAGAGGTAGCTCAGTGATTAAGAACGCTGGCTGCACTTCCAGAGGGCTTGGGTTTGATTCTCACTATCCACATGGTGACTCAGAACTACCCATAACTCTAGTTCTAGGGGATCTAATGCCCTCTTCTGGTCTCCGAGGACACCAGGCACATGTGTGGGGCACGCACACATATACACATATGCATATATGCAGGTAAAACACTAATACATAAGATAAATAAGTCTAAAAAATGCTTAAATGAAGCAAAGCACAGAGCACCTGTCTAGCCTCAGGGCTGCACCTAGCCTGACACCAGAGTGATGTACCATGTGACTCAAGTAAGACACTCCCCAACAGTATTCCCAGGTCCCCTATTCCCACAGGAGAGCTGCTGAAAGAGGACCGTCCATAACCCTCCTTCTCACGGTCCATACTAGGAAAATCCTTTTCCTCCTCCCAGGTCTAAAGTCTCATGATTCTGACCTCCCTTGGATTCTTAGGGGCTAGAGAGGGACAATTAATGCTTATGGGGACATCCAGGCAGGGTCTGTAGTAGCTGTTGCTGGCTGCAAGCCAAGTATGGGCTCTACCAGCTGCTGGGGCCAGGTCATGTCTCCTAGTGCATGCAAGCTTCCTGAGGCACCACTGTTATTTTATCCATTGCTCCCAGCTTGCAGGCCAGAGGCAGGCTTGCTATAGCCACACGATCCTCGTGTGTGTGTGTGTGTGTGTGTGTGTGCATGCGTATGCGTGTGTGTGTGTGTGTGTGTGTGCGTGTGTGTCCGTCTGTGTGCCCCAGACACAGGCAGTGTATTCTAAGGCACAGATTTCCCCCATAGCCTGTTCTCTGCTGTGACACTTGGGCTGAATGAAAAGGCACTTCGTCATTACATTATTAATGGAGATCACAAACAGGCTCTTCTCACCACGGAGACATGGAAGAGCAGATTGCACCGCTGCAAAAAAAATATTGCTACGAATGTGGATAATCATAGAGCTAATTCTGCTTACATAACCTCACCCTTCATTATGCAATCCTCTGTTTAAAATTTAAAAAAAAAACCAACTGCCTATAAAGGTTGAATTTTAAAATGGCTGCGCAACAGATGTGCCAAGGAAAACGTGTCCTGAGCGGAGGCCCCATAAAAGCTGGCATTTACCATAACAGTGGTCCTGAACTCATGATACAGGCAGGTGACTCTGCCCATTTGGTGTGCGTTGTGATCAGTCATATGTGGGACCTAAAGACATGAGCATCCATCGCTCAGATTCGCTGGGAGTTGGTCCTTTGTGCTATGTGGACACTGGATTCTTGCCTGTGTTTCAGGACTGTTGAGTACCATGGCCTGGAGGTAAAGGGCATGGTCAAGGCTATGGGACATGTCCCGCAGATGACCCAGATCATGTGGAGGGGAACCAGGAACCTTGTGCAGCTAGAATGGGGGGATTCTCTATGGCACCATCTCAGAGAGTGGTTTGACGGCTCACACAGCTGCTCTTCAGATGAAAAGTGGCCGACTTCCTATGCTGGTGTCCACCGGGCACAGTTAGCAAGTCCTCACAGAACTGCAGTAGATGAGGTGGCCTCTGATGTACACCCGTCCAGCGCCGGGTCACTTCCTCTGCTCTCCCAGGTGTAGCACTCTAGCCTTGCATGGAGCCATGGGGCAAGGCTCCTTCTGTGCCTGCTGGAGTCCTTCACTGCTCCAGCCTGTGGCAAGGTCCTATGTTGAGCCTCATGAGTAACATGTTTCTGCCCAGCCAATCTGCTTTCTAAGCTCAGCCTTGAGGCACTTCATCTTGAGGCACAGTGTCCAAACATCACCGAGTTGACATCTGCGCAGGGCATCCAGGCTTCTCTCTGCCTTCAATGACGACAAGAGCAACCTCATTTCTTATTAATGGAAAACAGGAGTGATGGCCTACAGCATGGCTTCTTTTTCAGAGTTCTTGGTTAGATCTGAATACTGACATACATCTCCACACTGTAAAGCACTATTTTATAACTGAGTTCCAACATAGGACCCTGACAGAACTGAGCATAAACCAACATTAAGTGCCTCCCATCTTCCAGGTGGGGCCTCCTGGCTGGTGTCCACACCTGTTGGTGTCCACACCTGCTGGTCTCCACGCCTCCACATCTGCTGGTCTACATGCCTGGTGGTCTCCACGCCTGCTGATCTGCACAACTGCTGGTCTCCACACCTGCTATTCTTCTATACCTGCTGGTCTCCATATCTGCTGGTCTCCATATCTGCTGGTCTCCATATCTGCTGGTCTCCACAGAACTCCTGACTTGGCAGCACCTACTGTACCCTCTCTTCTATCATAATAGCATATCCATAACAGGATTTCTTCATAGTTTCCAAGAAGTTGCTTTATAGATTCAAATAATTTGAGCCCCACCTGATGGAATGAGGCCTTGGATGCCTCAGAAGGCCCCGCCCCACCCCGAGTGCCCTGGACAGGCTGTGGTCTTAGGATTTTTCCATATTAAGTGCTATATCCTCAGCTCCTTCTAGACACTCTGCTCATGGATCACGCTTCCCCCAGCCCCAACATCTTGGGTTCAGCGGCTGCTGACTTAGACTCGGCTGAGGTATCCTGTCCTAGAGCTGCTACATGGACACTGGAGGCAGAGCTGCCATTTAGCTGGGAACCTCAGGAGCCAGACAGTCTCTGGGGGGACTGTGTGACTGAAGGAGAGCACATGTCTGGTGAGGGGTCTGAAGTCTAGAACTGCTGGCTGCTCTTGGGAGCGCAGGATTACAGCTCCAGAGCTGGTTCGGTGGGCAGCATTCCCTTGTTTCGTCAACCTCTAGAGCCTTCTCTGGCAACGAGAAGAGACCATGTGTGGCCCTCCAGCTCTACAGCCCCCACTCCGTAGGGTGAGCACTCACAGAGATGCTGAAGCTGCCCCTAAAAGCTGGCTGAGTCTTCCTCACTCCCTGGGAGAGAGATGTCCTCAAGAAACATTAGGCACACTGTGGAGTTTGGGTGACAAGGGGAATATGGAGGAGCCTGAGCTGCTGAGATATGGGGTCAGTTTATTAATTTATCTCCACAGCATAAACCGGGCCCTTCCAGGCTAATCCACAGCTCCAGGAAGTGCACTTCAAAGGCTCAAGAAAGTGTTGAGTGAATAATGGATGCTGAAAGCCTTTTCTGCCTAGATCTGTTGTGTTGTGTTCTCTAATAATCAGGTTTTCAGAAGACCCACACACCACTTTCCTCTTCGCTCTGGCAGTCTCCCTATTCTGGTATCGTTTGGACACATCCAGATTGCCTGAACAGGAAGGCATCATGTAGGTGCGAGCTGCTCCAGACTTCCTGGACCCTGTTTATCCAGAGCAGTGGGGTACACTGCATCCCTTACCCTATCAGTCAACCCTGGGGTTCACCTGTCTCACTGCTGTTTCCGGGTACAATCTGGTGTTAGGATAGCCGGAGGAGGCTGTTGAGGTCCTGAGCACAGCCGAGGGGGTGGCCTCACTGCCCACAGCGCCTCCTGCTGCAAAAGTGGAGCGCTGCTTGTCTTCATCCCCAGCTCTGAGAGACTCTGGGGGGTGGGATGAAGAGGGGACATCCAGTCCGTGTGCCTGCTGTCTGCTCTCCTTGATCTCACCTGAACAACCTTTCTGGTCCGAATTTCCATCTGGTTAACTGTTCTGCCTGCAGATGCCTTGTGTTCTCCACACGCACTGCACAGTGCCCTACACTGTTTCCCGATGTGAGCTGCTCTGTGCATTGTATCCCTGGAGCTTCTGCCTTTGCACAGTCTCCCTTCCAGGCTCTCGAAGGCTGGCACGACCACCTGAATCCTCAACCCTTAGCTCCTTTCCCTTTCTCCTCTTGGAGAGCTGGCAGCCTCCTCCTGCTTAGATCCAAGAGCCCCGTTGGCTTCTGAGCTCCAGGTTGGTCTTCTGAAACTCCCTTCCTGCGTGTAGCCCAGGGAGGTTTCTAGAATGTGGGTCTGTCCAGACTGTTTTCCTGGTCTTCAGGACAAGGTCCACTGTGACCTGGCCTTCATGGAGTTAAGCTGCCATGCACGGCCACAACACCTCCTCTCTGGAAGTCCTACTGTCTATCTTCTGGCTGGTCTGGCTTCCAGCAGCCGTTGTCCTGAAAAGTGACCTGCCATTCCTTGCTCCTCCTTCTGCAGGACCTCTGTGCCCCACACACCGTTCCAAAGAGATCCAGACCAACAGATGGCAGATGAGGTCAGAGTCCTGCTGGGACAGTGGCGGTGTCTCCTGTTCAGTGCCAACTGGGACTCTAGCAGCTTCTCTACTGCATCACCCAGATATGGCTCTTGGGGTGGAGCAGTTTTATGATCTGTAAAAGAAGCCCTGATTTCCTCTGAACCCTGAAACTGGGGTGGTTTTGGGGGAATCTCTGTGCAGCCCTCCTTCCTTGGCTTTTCCACTGGCTCCTGGTCCCCAGTGAATATCACGGTCCCTTTTAGGCTTTCAGAACTTTTGATATCTTTGTCTTCATTCCTTGAATGAAGCCCAAGTTTCTTTTCCCACTGGATACTTAAGGCACACACTCCTGGATGCTCCTGCACTTGAATGACCCATTCTTGTCATATACCTCAGGTGGCAGATACCACCATGAGCTCTCTACCTTTGCCCTTGCCCCTTAAACACATGAAGTCCCAGCCTCCCATGCAGTAACTCCATGCTGCACTTGCCAGTTAGGCAGAAACAGATCGCCCACATCTAGACTCAGCTTGTATTTAAGTCTTCCACCATGGACAGGTGAAAAGCTGGAAACAGAATATACCATTCAGTGAACATGACCTCAAGTGGGCGTATGATGCTGGTGCACACAACCTGAGGACCCGGGGGCTGACCAGCATGTACTAAAGAAAAAGTCATTCAAAGATGGAACCACAGCTCGCAGCTCACTGCACTGTTAGCTCATAGCTCACTGCACTGTTAGCTTACAGCTTGCTGTACTGTTAGTTTGGAGCACAGTGCTCTGTTAGCATACTGGAAACCTAGGCATCAACACAGGAGCCTGGTTCAAATCAGCTAAGTCTAAAATGCATTTGAAAAATGGCCTTTGCATCAGATCCTATCCCAGTTTAAGAGCGCCCCCCCCCCGAAAAACTGCTCCAAGCTGTTGAGGTTTGCTTATGTTCTCAATAAACTTGTCAGCATAGATTGCCAGCTCTAGACATAGGCAGACTGTCTTCACCTTTGCCATCTCTGCTGAAGGAATTCCCTGAGGGTGATTTCTTTCCCTGCTGCAGAAAAACCAGGAGCTTGAACTATGACTCTTCAAACCTCTCCATTCAGTACTGCTGCTGGGGAATACCCAGTTCTTTAGAGACCTGAGGACCAGTGTGTCCACCCATAGTCACGGTTACTGTCCACCAGGAAGGAGAACACAAGACACAGGTAAGGGCTGTGCATGGACGCTTCCCTGAGACACTGGTGAGAAATAGGCATGAACCCTTCCCCTGAGCCCCTGGTGAAAGACAGGCATGGACGCTTCCCCTGAGACCCTAGTGAGAGGCGGGCATGGGCGCTTCCCGAGACGGGTAATGAACTGGGCAGACACACAACAGCCCCACTGCAGATGAGAGACACTTACTTTTGCCAAAGCTTCTCAAATTCCCGTGGGGTGAGGGGGATGTCAAAGCCATACAGTGCATTCTTGATGTCCCTTCGCCGGAGAATACCGTTGCCCTCATTATCTGTTTCTATGAAATTCTACAATGGAAGATGGTATTCAGTAACACACAGAAGAGAGGGCTGTCGACAGCTTCTGGAACACTCTAAGGTACTTCTCTATGTGTTTTTTAGCGTTTCTGGGGTGTGGGGGTGTAGGGTATGGAGGTGTAAGAGACCACAGGTTAAGTTCAGGTGCCATGCATGCCTCAGGTGCTGCCTGCCTCATGCGTTTGAGACTGAGTTGTGGGGCTCACTGATTCACACCCCTGGGACCTGCAAACCCCAGGGACCATAGTGCCTGGCTTGTTAAAATGTAGGTCCTAGGGGTCAAACCCGGGTCTTGATGATTTTTGTTCCCTATGTAGACCTGGCTGGCCTAGACCAGACTGCTCTCAAACTCCCAGCTATTCACCTGCTTTTGCCTCTCGAGTGCTGGGATTAAAGGCATGTGCTACCACATCTGTTAAATGGGTATCAACTGAGCTATTTCTCCAACCTTCAGTATTTTTAATGGGACTTAGAAAAAATAGTTTTAAAAAGCTCTTCAAGAAGAAGGAGTTGCATACTAGCTAGCCAGGATGTATCCATGAGGGCTGGAGAGCTGCTCAGGAGCGGAGCATCTGCCTCCCATACCCTGGAGTCTGGATTCGATCTTACCCACAACAAAAAGTTATTAAGGTGCATTATAAGTTACAGTGACTAGAAACATGTAGAACTGGGGCCAGGACAGACAGACTGACCACTGGTCAGATGAGGCGTTCAGAGGCTCTGTGGGAGGGGGTGGACAGAGACGGAGCTGCAGGGCAATGAAGTGAAGGAGGATTGGCAATGAAACACAGAGACCTGGTCGCCATGCAGAAGGGATGAAGGTGGGCATGCCTCCCACACAGTGCACAGCTGCTCCTCACTTCAAGACCTGAACTGGTGGCTCCTTGAGGAGAATGGAGAAGGTTTTCACTGAGATCAAGACAGGGCAGAAAAAGACAAAAAAAAAAAAAAAAAAAAAAAAAAAAAAAAAAAAAAAAAAAAAAAAAAAAAAAAAAAAAAAAAAAAAAAAAAAAAAAAAAAAAAAAAAAA